TCGCGAAAGGAAGTGAACGCGAACTGAACAGGGCATAGTATTCCCAGCTTCAAGAGTTATCAAACGCAGTTTTTTTTTGTTTTTGATTTTCTGTTTTTACCAATTTTGAACCGCCCTTGTCTGTCGAGTGACTTAACAGCCAATGGTCGTTAACCCATTCGCGACCGCGCCGGATTGCGCAATAGCAGGAGAGTCAGGAGATTTTTCTTCAATAAAATTTGAGTGGATGGAGATTTCCCCTGCCCAGGGCTGGCGTAGATGAATGAGGGTATGAAGATTCTTTTCAGGAAAGAAAACTTTCCAAATTCCATTTGAAACACGGCAGCCACCGGTGGATACCATTGTCCCGAGTGAGATCTTTGGCAGCCACCGGTGGCTGCCATTGTCACGAATGGGTTAAGGATCATGTCGGGAATATTGGGTTTTGTAAATGACTGCTTCACTTCAGGAAAACCGGCCGTTTTGTGATTGAGGCTCCGAAATTCAATAATGCTTGGAACTGCTACACTTCCTAGACATGCATTCAAGCTTTTCAAACATTCACAAAGATGCCTCGTGAGTCTTTACATATAGATAAACGACTGATGAATGATTGACGATGACTAGTTGATCAAGTGATAAGTGAATGGTAAATGCGCGACAGCCTCGCCGAATGAGCAAATGTGAGCAAATGGACGAGATTCTTGCGCTCACTCCCTTGCAAGTAACGTGGATTACGGGGTAGCGACCAATTTAAATGCGATCGGGTCTGGGTTCGCATGGAGCCAGCTATCCAGATATCTCGTCCGAAGACGTCTTCACTATCCCAAGGGGGAAAGAGCAGGTACCCATCAGAAGCGTCCCAGGCGGTTCTTTTGTTGCTCCCTGACAACTCCGCACTCCCGACTTCATTGTCGTGGGTTCTTACTAAACCAACTTGATCCTGGGTTGTTGCTCCAAGGCAGCTATTACGACAGGTTATTGAGGGGTTTAGAGCTGACGTGGTGGTGCTCAATGGTACGCCAGTGGCGAAAAAAGCAGAGAAATCCGTCAAGAAAACGCAAAAACGGGACCCCTTTTTTGGCCGTTGGTTTTCACTCATGAACAGGTAACAGCTCAGAAAGCGGACGTATGAACGAGTTCATCGCAACGCGTTTGGTGGACACCATGCAAACACTCCCAATCGAGTTGCCAGTTGTGCCGCTGTTGGCAACGCGCAGTCTTCCATATCACAACCTAAACTAGTGGACTTTCTAGGGCGAAGTGCTTTCGAAGTCCTGCTCGAAACCAGCGTTGTAGAAGCGTCACACCCCACTCCTTCGAGAGCCATGTAACTGCTTGGGTGGTGCATATGCTTGCCCGACGTGTTTCCTCTATTGTAATCGCTTCCTTCAAGGCGCACTGTTGTATGACGCTTTATAAACAGTGTTCTATAAAAAACACTGCTCTAATAGCTACGACAGTGCTACAACATCTTCGACGGTCACAAAATTCTACCAACTCATTTCCAGGCAAGTATAATCGGTGGACCAACAATCACTCTTTCTAATGGAGTGAAGATGCCACAAGTTGGATTAGGTACTTGGCAGGTGAGTGATCGATTCGCATTATAAGATGGCTGATGTGGGTCAGGAATTGAAATAAAATTTGGTATACGCCATGCATCCTGCTTTAGTTAGAAGCATAATCACTCGGATGTGTGATCTGTCCATACAATGGCTTGGTATTGATCCTTCTTATCAGCGTGACTTCCTTCCCTACAATACTGCTACCAAGTAATGGTTGCCAGAGCTCTGTAGGATCCTGTGCATCGCTCTGACGATAAGGTATTCTACAGCTACGAAAGGACCGGTTTGCATCACGAACTGTAAAAGCTAGCACTACAAAAAGAATGGTACCTGGGGTTGCATAAACTATCATTCAACTCGTTTGCTTGGCCTAGTCAGCTTTTCACTATCTTGTGTGGTTTCGTAGTCGCCTCCTTGCCATACTGGCGTAGTGCCAGGAGATCCACGGCGTAAGGAACGCCGCAAGTAACACCGCGCCTCGTTTAGTGTGGAGGGTACCGTCAGTCCAGTCAATCTCGCCTCCCTTGTCGTTTAATGTTGGGCGGGAAGTCTGTTGTAAATTTTCTTTGTCAGTCATGACGTTTCCACGCTCGTGAGACTGGTTATAGTCCGTTCTTCCAGCACGCGACATCACGACATCTTCTACATAACACTTCCACTAGGGGATTCCCCACTATGGCCACCGAAGTCATCGCAGTCCTTTGCGAGAAGTCTGCAGCGAAAACGCTATAGTACGACGACATCTACACCGACAGGCCCCACATCGCACTCTGACTAACTGTACCGACCCTCCGACATAAGGCCGGCGTCAGGCTTTGAGAATCTAGTGATTTGCTAGTAGCGACTCCACGGACTAGCGTTTGCTACTAACGAACCGCTGAATTCGCAATAACTGACACCGCCCCAAATGAGAGGTGGGCAATCACTAAAAAGACATACGTTGAGGATGCGCCAAAATTACGAGCCCTCCTTTCGTTACATCTGGCAATTTTAGTCCTCTCCGGGCGAGGTAAAGGCTGCCGTGAAAACCGCTATCGAGAACGGTTATCGTCTGATCGACACAGCTGCAGTTTATGAAAATGAGGAAGCCATTGGTGAAGTAATAAAGGAGATGATCGATGCAGGCAAAATCAAGCGGGAGGATCTGTTCATCACCACAAAGGTAAAGGCTTAAGAACCTTACATAACACTACGATTTGTCCGAACCTTTTTCAGTGAATCTCATTATGCACTGTTATAGCCTTAAAGACACATTCCGCAACTTCCGCAACTTACCTTAAACTTATGTGATATCGCCTGCAATAAAGTAGTTTTTGCGATAGGTTCACCCGTGATGAAGGAAAGCAGAACAAAACTTCTGAGAATTTGAAAATTCTTCTTAATGCAGATTATATCTGCGCTTCACCCCCACGGAATTCCCATTGTTTGGACCCGTACAATCACTGTGCTTCACCGTGTTTCACCGTATGAAGCGTAAGGATGACCAATGAGATTCGCGCATGGGCGGGGCGAATGCCAGGCCCATATCACAACCGCTCAAAGGGGTCTAAGCAGTTGTTTTTTGTTCTTTTTCACTATTGAAAGATCGATTTCCACAAGTACCCACCCTCTGTTTCAGAAAACCAGAAGAGCGTCGAGTGCAGACCACACACCACAAGTGACGACGGCCTCCACAAAATGTAAATGTTTTCTGCCAATGAAATGATTAGCCTGTTGCAGTTGTATTCTATCAGTTGTCACTAATTACAACTATCATTTACCAACTATCAGCTATCACTATGAATCACTCTAACCAGATTTACTTGGAGGCCGTCGTCACTTGTGGTGTGTGGTCTGCACTCGATGCGCTTCTGGCTTTCGACACAGTTTTTCGAGCGCAAAAGCCCACCTTTATCCAGTCGTGGAATGTGCCTTCAAATCGCAACAGACAGTTGATGTTTTCAACATTTTGGTCGCATGGAACGGGAGCTATTCTGCGGCTGCTACAAAGTATAAAAATCTAGAGAACTTGACCCGTAAGACGAGCCTAGATGTTTTTTGGACCATGACGTTCGTGGTTGATCAATTTAAAGAAAAAATTCAAAAAACCTGCAAGAGCTCCCCTTATATGTAAATGGAAAATCCTGATAACATCAGTTCGGGTTCCATAGGGCACCATTTCTCCCCATGTGGCTTGCAAAATGTGATACACTGTGGTACCACGCTGTCGTTATAATGTTATTCTTAGGGACCGTTTAGGTGTGGATTACACACGAACACCCGGACGACACCTGAAGGAGCAATTCGCGAATCTCTGCGTAAACTTAAAATGGACTATGTTGATCTTTACTTGTCTCATATGCCAACCTGCTTCAATGTAAGTGTTTAGCATCTTTCAAACTCTCTGGAGCTTGAGTCTCCAATTGGTGGAATTCAAAGTAATTCAGTTTATTTACACCTTCAAAGTTCCATTCCTAATTTCTGGAGGATCACTCTGAGTTCGTACGAGTTTTCGCACTCATTCGAAAAGAATTCGAATCAAAGTCTCGAAGAGGGGGAAGTGGTGAACAGTCCGTGCTTCCTTCAGTAATCTACACATTTGGAGAAAAAAATTGTCGACGGTGACAGAGGACGTCAAGAAAAGGCAGTTTTAGAGTCTCTCTGGTAATATGTATTTGTAGTTGGCAAGCGAAGAAGAAGTGCAATGAAACAAACGCCATAAAATTTGAAATCAAGGGCTCGCTTAAAAAGAAGACAGCATGTTTCTCCAAATGTTCGTCTCGATGCAGACGAGAGGAAGCGTTGAAAAACTTCAAGATCTAACTCCAAGCAGCTTCAGGCAAAGCAAAAAAATTCAGAACATCACCATGAAAAAAAAGATCAAAAAGATCTGAATACAGAACAAAGACTTGAATTAGACAACAAAGCTCAGTTGTGGCACTTGACGTATCCTGTTTTGTGACCTACCTTTTCTCAAAGTTTAACAAATATAACAGATTTTGACATGTTTCTACTGTTAATCGCAGCAATGCTGGTCCGTTTAGGCGATCAGCTCGAAATGGTAAATGTCAATACATCATCTCGGTCGCCGCGCGCCGGGCAGCCACTTCGAGCGTCTAAAGTGGCAGATTTCGATGGTCGCCTGTTTTTGATAAGACAGTAAGCAGATGATGAGACATCAAGTGAGCTGGTTCCATTTTACAGTAATTTGGGACGCAAGCTTAGGTAAATTGGCCCTGAAGGGTGTCGTCAAAATTCGTTCTCCTGGTCTTATCCTTCTTTCTGGCCAACTCTTAAGGCAACACACATCGCCATTTCGAGTGCTATTTTTCAATAGATATCTTTTCTCACGCCCACCTCTCCTCCCCCTCCCCGAAAGCCATGACAGCCCAAGTCTGTTTTTGAAGGTCACTATTGCATTATTGACAAAGTTCGAGAGAATAATCTCTCTGGCGCACTGATAAGAAGTTAAAGGAATCTTCCACGGACCATGGACCAGTGGGCGGGACCGGAAGTGGTTTTGCGACGAAATGCATGGTAGGTACGGATCCACGTTCATGGGAAGGTTTGAAGTGAATCCTGTTCACGTTCGTGCGTTCGACACGTGGATCCGTACCTACCATGCATTTCGTCACAAAAACTTCCGGTCCCGCCCACTGGTCCATGGTCCGTGGAAATTTCTTTAAGGTTCAAGGGACTAGCCTACATGGTACATGGTGTCCCTTCGAGATTCAACCGAGTGATGCAAGCAGAAACTCGTCCACTGCAGTTGCGACTTTGCGGCCACGACCAGCACCGAGAATGGACCATTTTTTATGGCAATAACAGGATCGATTGCTTACCGTAATACAATACGCAACGCGCACATGCATTCCTGCAGTGTTTGCACATACGGATGGTTTTGCTGTCGGATTACCATTTAGGCATGGTATGAGATGGTGTCCCCCAAGAGGCCCGTCGCGCAGCGAAGGAAGAGACGAGACGCGGCAAAGGACGAGTCAGCGCGTGCTGTGCGATATGAGACGTAGTATGGTACACTCTATTTAACCTGACGCCTAACCGCTACAGTATGCGCTGCGACTCGTCCTTTGCCGCGTCTGCGTCTCTTCCTTCGCCGCGCGATGGGCCTCTTGGGGGACACCCTGGTATGGGGTGCAGAACACGCAAAGACGAGTCGGACGTAATTCGAACTACAGGTGCCGCGTCGTCGCGCGTTGACATCTCAACCCATTCATGCTGACCTATAACGATACAACGAGTGGTCACTAGAGCAGGGTCTACTGTCCGTTCACGCTATACGAACGAAGGGGTCGCATTTGTGATCTCGAGAAATGGATTTATTTGCGCTTGAGTAAGGTTCGGGAAGTGCGAATAGAGCGTTGTATTTGTGGAATTGAAGGGGTGGTGGAGCAGGGAAGGTAACCTGTTCTTGTCTTTTTTGACAGATTCTTCGACGATTGTGGTGAAAACTTCATGAAGGAAATGTGTGGTGGATGAAAATGGAGAGTGCTATTCATTTGGGGGTATTTACCTCCTCGACGACCGTTCGGAGGAGAGTGGATGGAGTTGGGCTGTGTCGGCTGGTCTCATAATCAGATTCAAATCCATGATGAATGACCAATTTAAAACATCCATGATGGCGAAGAGGCACTCGGGCAGAAGTAGGTTGTCGCGGAGCGCACCGGGGAAGCATATGCACCACACGAAGCAGTTACTTGGCTGCCAAGGAAGCGAAGTGTGGCGCTTTCACAACGGTGCGCTGGTTGCTGAGCAGGACTTCGAAAGCACTCCGCCCCCAAAAGCGATCCGCCCACTAGTTTACTTGGTGATTTGGACGAGCTGCGTTGGCCAGCAGCGGCGCAATGGAGCATCTCGATTAAAGCGTGTTTGGCATGGTGCCATCAAACGCGTTGCGGTGAACTCGTTCATACGTCCACTTTCTGAGCTGTTACCTGTTCATGAGTGAAAACCAACGGCCAAAAAAGGGGGTCCCGTTTTGCGTTTTCTTGACGGATTTTTCTGCTTTTTTCGCCGCTGGCGTACCATTGAGCACCACCACGTCACACTAAACCTTTCTTGAATTTTTCGTAATTGCTGCCTTTAATTACACATCACCTACGTACTTAGACGCTCTACCCTCCCACTACCTATTTTCTATTTCATCACCACCCGTTTCATCAGAATTTTTACCTTCAAGATGTTCTTCAATTCGAGATATCGCTTTAAACCTCTTTGAAAGTTGACTTTCAGCACGAAATGACACAACAGAATAAGTCCGTGACAGTGGAGGATATATGGCGTGGTTTGGAAGGTGTTTACAATAAGAAACTCACTAGGGCGATCGGAGTGTCAAATTGGAATGGCGAACAAGTGGAACGAGTCATGAAATCCGGTACCGTACCAGTTCATAACAACCAGGTAATGACTTTGCCAAGTTTTTTATTCAGGAAATTTATCTCATTTTTACTAATGTAACAATTAGCGTGTTCTAGGTAGAGCTCCACCTCTATTGGCCTCAACATGAGCTGCAGGCGGTCTGCAACAAGCATAACGTTTCCATCACTTCCTACGCCACTTTGGGATCGCCTGGTCGAGCCGCCTTCATGCCTGAGTAAGTGTACACTTAGGAGGGTACGTGACGATTCAATCGTGGCGATGGCTACGTCCCCGCCCAGCCGCCGCAACCCGCGATGCGATGCCGGTCGTGGCTACAATCAGGTTCGGCTTCGGGGAATGTTGTTTAGGATAGAATGAGTTTCCCAGTCGTGAAACACGGTATATGATCACCTGCCCCTTAAAATACAGGATCCTTGTCCTTTGCCATTATTTACAAACTTATTCTGTCATACTGATGTTATTGCCTTCCTCACCGTTCCACTGCGTCTTGGAACGTAATATTTTTCCGATTTAGCCACTCCCTGATAACAATTCAGGCAGTTGATTAATAAAGAAGTCTCATTATGTTCAAAAGGACAACCTTTACATGGCACAAGCTCTGTACAGTGAGGCTTAAATAACTGCGGAGATCTTAAGGTGACTCTTGTTGGCTCACTGATGTCTGGAACTTTGGTCTTATCAGTTCCAACCCCATCTTATGGCAGGACTCTAGCCAAAGGCCCCATGCAGAAATCGCCGCCCAAATTCGCCGCGCCGCGACGCCTTCCCGCGCGTGAGCGCGTGACCTTATCACCGACGATTCCGACGATTGAATTGACAGTCTCCGCACACTAGGAGCTTGTAAGGCATTTTATGTGGTAATTAAAGCCTTCAAGGATATCGCAGTGCGCAGCAACTGTTATGTATCTCTAAACGTACCCAGCTGGGTAAGATGAAGCAAAAAGCTTCAGATATTTTGAGCTCAAAGCAACAACCCACGATCAAGTTGGTAGCGTAACGGGGGCTATAATGAGACTGTGGATGCCGAGCTGACAGAAAATGGAAGAAGAACCGAAGAAAACCGCCGATGAAGCCATTAACAAGTTTCCCTCCTCTTTTGAGAAAAGGAAGGGCGGTTGATGACGAGGTTTCTGAACTTGCTTGCTCACGAATAGCACCCTACGCGCGCGTGTCTTGGATTAGCCGCCCCCTTATGCCGTAACACACCGTTTGCTTATCATGGAGTGTGCGCGAGGTATCTTCGTCAATAGTAACGATGTGGTAATACTACCAAGACCATCAGACACGAATATCCACTCACTGTTTATTAGCAAGGAATATGCGTCATGAATATCAGATCTCTTCTGGTATCAGATGGTTCAGCAAAAGCGTGAAGGTTGAGTACAGCAGACGTGCGGGTCCGAGGGCGGCAATGGTCGGGTCCGGCGAACGGTCGGCGTCCAGGCGGCGGCTACAATACCCATCGTCCTCGCTCCGTCGCGGCTCCGCCTTCTGTAATCAGAAAGCTCATCGAAGCATCAGCACGGTGACTAAGCTTAACCTACTATCGATTTCTACGTAACCCTAACTCATACACTATTACTTCGTATAGCATACATTAGCCTCGGTTTGGAAGACTGGCACCCATTGCCGCCTCTCGCTCCGCATCAACCGATTGGATACTCGCAGCTATGTCTGTCCTACCCACAGAACAGATCATTAGACACGGTGACATATGGGGTTGTTGCTTCAAAAGGCTGAAAAGTTTAGGCTCAAGGATACAGCTGAGCCCAGCCCAGCACCATAGATCCCCGGAAATCAGTCTACTTCGCCTCGCTTTCATCTAGAGAAGCTTTCATTTCCAGCCTTGTCAACGTTTCTTTCCATTTTTTTGATCACTTGTGTTTCACTCCACTGTTGCTTCCAAGCGCGTTAGCAAAATTCGATCCAATTGCAGCAAATTCGGTTGGAAAGAAGCTCCAAAGGACCTGGACGATCCGAATGTGAAAAAGTTGGCCAAGAAGTACCACAAAACTCCAGCACAGGTTCGTTCTTATGCTTTCGCTAGCCCAGAAATATAGCTCAAGTTTATGTACAGATGGCAACAGCTTTCGCCTTTTACCATCACTCTCAAATCGCTGACGCATCGTTCGATTCACAAAGGCTGATACTGGCCTTCCAAAGTTGCTCTTCTAGTTGACCCAGAAATAATACACCATTTCGGAAAATGAGAAGCAGTGTCGAGTGCAGACCACACACCACAAGTGACGACGGCCAAGAAAAAAAAAAAAAAACTTTTTCTTGGCCGTCGTCACTTGTGGTGTGTGGTCTGCACTCGACACTCTTCTCGTTTTCCGAAACAGAGGGTACATATAACCCCCAATCGAGGAACCCTAGACAGTTCATCCTGGACGGCAGTTTATCGATTTTCTGTGTAAGGGATGGAAGACTTTCGAGTATGATTTCCGGTGTTCCATGCTGCATAGAAGAATTGACGTCTCCTGTTGCTAATAAGACTGCTGGGGTTCTACCGTAGAGAGTCTGCTTCAGCCTCAGCTACACTTTTTTCAAGCCCGTACCTGTTCTTGTTCAGATTTTGTTGCGTTACGTGATGGATCGCGACATGGCAATCATACCGAAGTCTGTGAAGCCTGCGCGTGTAGTTGAGAACTTCCAGGTTGGTTGGCCTACCAATGCGCTTACCCTTTCTTACTAAAGCTTCTTCTTGTAGTTGTTCGACTTCAAATTGAGCAAAGACGAAATTAAACTGCTTGAATCGACGAAGAATCGCCAAAGGCTCTTCACAGACGATTTGTGAGTTTTTGGGATGGAGCTTTTTGCCATTTCCCACAGATCTGATGAAGTGCTTGTTGTTGAGTAACCTCACCAGGATGGGACAAGCTCTCGACTTCTGCTTAAAATCGCAGTCGTGATTGATAGATATAAAAGCACATGCTTTTCCATCCAGTTTTGTATTTACGGGACTTCTTTCAACAATTTTTCATGAAAATTGTTAGCAATGAAAGGAAACTAAGCGTGATATTTGAATCGGAAATTTTGTGAAGCTTAGAAATCCTTTGTGAATTTGAAGCATGAGTGATCATTCAGGAAGCCATGTGGTTTATACTTATGTTGATGTTTTTCTCTAAAATCAATGGAAAACCTTGGGAAAGATGGGCGCATGTGTGAACATAGGCGACAAGATGATGACGCGTATGCGCGTCAAACTGTCCCACGCGCTGTGTAAGGCCGAGCGTCAGGCTGTCGTCAGTGTGTCAAAATGTTTCTCCCGTGCTGGAATTACCCTGTTATACAGCTTCATAACATTTATGTGGATGATATTGTATGCAATATTTGAACCCTCTGTATTACAGCATGATCGGCCATCCAGAAGATCCATTCAAGTCCGAGAGAAAGTGAACAAGGATTTCATACCACTTTTTTCCTGCCATCGCCTTGCAATGCTGCTCTCCTGCTGGCTTACGTCCTCTTTCGACCCCTACTTGATCTGTAGAAACATTTGTTTGAAAGTTTTGTTCGTGTCTTTGAATAAATAGTTGGGCATAGCGCGTCACGGTTGCAAT